ATGACCTTAGCCTGCCGGCGTGGTTGTATGCTGCCGAGTATTTCGAATCTTGGCCTTACCCCAACACAACTTCATAAGGCTGTGTCATATATCATTTTGTAGCCCGTGAAATTCTCTATCGAATGGTGTATGAAGTGGACTGGTTAATGACCGAATAATGGAGAATTTTTGACATCAATGACCTTGACCCGCCCGTTTGCTGAGTTGCTAACGAGTATTTCCAACCTTGGACTACTCGGACACAGCTTCTTAACGATATCTCATATATAATTTTGTAGCCGGTGAAGTTCTCTATCGGGTGATGTATACTAGTTGATACTTCCTGTAGGGGAAAGAGTTAGACGAATTACATTGCCTTGGGCAATTTCGTTTAAAGCAAGAAGGTTTTAGTTTGGCAAAAGGCTTCCAGGGGCGTTCGAAAGGATTTTTATTGACTAAAAATATGATAGGTTTAATGGGCAAGAAAAACTGCATCAGATGAGTTACTGCATAATGGATTTGGTAGTGGGCGGATTTGTGGTCTTATCGTCCCCCGTCCTTTGTATTTTGAAATTTAATTTAAAATTTGAAAATTCAACTATTTTGAAAAGTAAAAATATCTCAACTCAGGTAAGCGTTGCAGACTTCGGACAAACGTCATTTGATAGAAAAATAAAAATTGAACAAATGCAAGGGTTTGACAATGTTTCTGTATCACGTGATCCTGGCTTTCTCTGGATTTTTCCTAAATGAGGGCGAAAAACTCAGAATTCCACCCATAATTCTCAATTGTCTCTATCATAACTCAACGTTTGAGCAATAAAAATATCATATTCGGAACCGGAATCAAAAACTGAGTCGACTGATGTGTATCTCTATCCTATCTGAGTATTTTTATTTTTTTCGAATTTTTACATTGAAAATTTAAATGAATTGAATTTTTCAAATTTCAAATTAAGTTAAAAAACAACAGATTTTATGCTAAACGCTTGATTTTGTTTGAAAATATTCATCATTCGAGGCTGAATTCGAATATATTATTAAAAATGTTCCATGTCTTAAAAGTGATTTTTAATCCTGTTTTATCAACTTTGGAGTCCGCATGGACTCCGGCTAGACAACAAGCGTTCACATGTACTTCCACATCGTTTATCACATCAACAACGAATGGGAATGAGCAACTGATGTTATCAGCTTACTCTACTACTCTTCACTAAGGCATATCATGAAGGGCATGATTCGATCTAATATTATGTGCATATAACATTAATTTGAAACTCGTTGGAGTCCAGCTGGACCCCAGGTGGGCGTATCAGGGTTAAGTTAACGTCGTTTGACATTTTTTTTCAATAATCTGAAAAAAAGAAACAAAGAAAACACATACAGATAACTTATTTTAAAATGAATCCAGTTTAGATAATAGAAAATCGATATATATAGTCAATAAATTCAATTCTGAATAACATTTTATAACTCTTTAAATAGGAAGTTGTTTGCATTGCTTCTGTCGTTCAATACTCATATGTTAATATTGTTGAGAATGAAGTAAATAGTTATATGTACTTTTAAACCTTATTTCTAAAATCTACTTCTTACTAAAAAGGATAATTACTGAGAAATGGATTGATATATCTTCTTTGTAGTTCGGAAAAAAATCGATGTCTATAATAAGAAAAAAGAGTAATATGAAATGAATTTAGTTTTTGTTGGTATTCATTTGATAATTTTCTTGCTTTCGTCGATTGTCATTATTTTGTCTTTTCAGTTGTCGTTTCCTCACTTTCTCGTCCTCTCGTCTCTTTAATTTCATGTTGGCAATATCTTTGTTCAACTCATTGACACTTTTTGTAAGAGTTGTGACCCATATTTGTTTTGATACCCATTGATTATGTAAACCTTGAATTTGGCTTCCTAACTTTTCGTGAATCTTCTTACGTTGTTCAACATCAGCACTAAGTTGAGTATAACGACTATTCTGTTCATTGTAGTTCTTTTCCTTTGTAGCAATATCATCAGATAAGTGTTGAAGATGATCGCGAGTTTGATCAAAACGTACATTGATTTGCGTTGCTCTCTGTTTGGCTACCTAGTTAAAACAAAAACGAAAAACGACTATCACTCCCAACTTGCCGATGTAGTCTTTTTCATTGAATATATACAGAACCCATTTAGAATTAGTGTAGAAGCAAGCATGAAAATACATTTGAAAACCTGTGTCTGTTTCATGTTAAATGTACAAGTTTGTGACTTTCCTTATATTATGACGATAGAAAACTTTCGAATTATTCATTGGTCTCGAGATTTTTCAGTCATTTTTGCTTTTTTTCTGAAGAGTTTTAGAGTTGTGAGTCTCTTCATTGTTTTTACATTTTCAATAGTTATACTGCTAATATGAATTTTTATCTCTGCATTTTAAATTGATTTCTTATTTCGACTTGGCTTGAAATTTCTGAGTCGACAAGATTTCATTTCATTTCAATCGTCGTTCAGTTCGAAGACAAAAGAATCAGTCTGCGTTTTATTAATGAACGAAACTTGAAAATATCAGTATACTCGTATTCTAGGAGCATCCAAGTGGTTATCTAACATATGCTGGAATCTGAGCTTTCTTCTGCTATTCACGAAAGTATTCAAGGATTTCAACATTTCATCGAAAGTGTTCAATTAAATTTACTTTTGAGATATTGTAAATGCCAATCCATAGACCTCCACGAATAAAACAAATTTAAGAAACGAACGCTCCAAACACAAAAGCGGAGGCATGTCCAAAGCAATAGATGGGCACAGCACGACTTCGTTCTATACGATTAAGCAATACGAAAAGATACTCTGAGGGGTGTCGAGGTGGTTGAGTGAAGAGAAAACCATAATTTTGACTTGCTTATGTCTAACTACCATTGACCAACACCATTGACATTTTCCTTTTAATTTGGCATTTCAAGCCTAGGACAGGGGAGAAAACATTATCGTAATAAAAGAAAATCGATCTACACATTTCAATACGACTTCTCTAAACTCTTATTAACATATTTGAAAACATTCTAACGCGAAACTACAGAATTCTCTAGACAACACTTGACAGTAAAGTGTTCAGTACATGAAACTCGATCATTTACTCAAGTCGACAAAGCTACGAAAAAGTTTCTTCACGTGGATAGAATCATCATTGTTTTGTAGCATTTATGTTATACAACTGAGAAAAATAAGATATTTCATACGACGATTCGCTGTGTCACTCGACCCAACTTTCATCTTCATCGACCCAAGTAGAACTCGTCAAGCTCCACAAAATCATTAGCAATTGTTCAATCTTATATGTTATTATCATTCGAGGAACTAGTACAAAATCATCGATGTGCAATGCCACAATACACAATTGATCGCATTGAAGAATTATTAACAATGATGTCTAAAGATGTAAATAAAAATTATTTAAAATGTGCATCGATAACTACAATGTTCTTATATTTAACATACAAATATTACAGATTAAATGAACATTTACTTGAAATTTTTAGTAACTTTTTAATAGTTGAAGGAAATAATAAAGTGATTAGGGATTTTCTCACTAACTGTGGGTGAAAATGCGAAAAGTGAAGAGTGGCTTTTGTGCAGCTTGATGAGTTCTACTTGCGTCCATCAAGAAGAAAGTTGGGTTCAGTCACATAGCGAATCGTGGCACAAAATATCTTATTTTTCACAGCTGTATATATATATTGCTTTTCTCGCGCGGAAAGTAATTAGCGATTTCTCATTAACTGTGGGTCGAAAGGAGAATAGTGAAGAGCTGATTTTCTGAAGCTTGATGAGTTCTACTTGGGTCGATAAAGAAGAAAGTTGCGTCCAGTGACATAGCGAATTGTGGCACAAAATATCTTAGTTTTCTCACCTTCTCATTTCGCTCCCCAGGGAATGGGAAAATCGCTAATTACTTTTCAGGCTATACCAGCGATATATCTAAAACCAGGAAAAATAAGATTTTTGTGCCACGATTCGCTGTGTCACTCGACTCAACTTTCATCTTCATCGACCCAAGTAGAACTTGTCAAGCTTCACAAAATTCACACTTCACTTTTCTCATTTCGACCTTCAGTTAATGACAAAATCGCTAATTACTTTCCAGGCTATAAAAGCAATATATGTAGAACGGGGAAAAATAAGATATTTCGTGCGACGATTCGCTATGTCACTGGACCCAACTTTCTTCTTGATGGACGCAAGTAGAACTCATCAAGCTCTACAAAATCCACTTTTCACTTTTCCCATTTCGATCCACGGTTAATGAGATAATCGCTAATTACTTTCTACGGTATACGAGCAACCGGGTGAAAAAAAATGGGCGTTGTTGCACCAGTTCTTGCGGGAAAAGATTTTTTCGTTGGAAGTTTCAATTTTTGTGCAGAAAATTTTCAGTTTTCGGCGGAAAAATGCTAATTCACGATGAAATGTTTTTTCTGAACGTATGCAGACTTATTTTTTCCGTAGAAAAATTTGTTTTTCTGTGGAAATTGTCATGCAGGATTCTGGCGAATATTTTTTCGGCAGAAATGCTCTTTATTCCGCTGAATTTTTCATGTAGAATTCTGCCAAATATTTTTTCAGCGGAGCACTGTGGGAATTTCAGTGTTGGGCGGGAACCATTAATTCACGACAAAATGTTTTTGCAAACTACGCAGAATTTTTTTTCTATTAAACTTTCAGGATCCTGCGACATATTTTTTCAGCAGACATATATCCCAAAGAATACAAGGGCTTACTCTACACTATCTGCTAAATCAATAATATTTCACCTAGCAAGATGACTTGGATCAGAAAAACAGGCCGATTTGTGAGGTTTTTAGAAGAGCAAACAACTATATTAGAGTCAAGCTCTGATTGCGGTCGTCATGTATACTGTCATCTTTACGACAACGAATGCACTTAGCAATCAAATTTGTTTATCGATTAATATTAATTAGTTCCCGTAAATTTTTCCCAAATTCTTGTAAATCTTAATCAACTAATAGATTAAAAAATATTCGAGAAAATTGTTATGAATGTTGAGAGTAAGTAAATGTTTTTCTCAGTCAGCTGGTGATCGTAAGCCGAAACGTCAGGATACACATTTCGAGATGTGCTCTACAAACTGGAAAAGTTAAAATGAATAGCTGCTATCCCTTGGAATAAACGCAAGACATCTTTAAAACGAGAAAACAGCAAAAAGTCTTTAAAATCAGCTATTTAATAACAGCAGAATTTTTACCAGGAGAAAACTCTAAAATTAGAGCGATCTAGTCAAATTAGAAGATTCGTATACCTGGTCACTCGACAGAAGAATTTGCGCGAAAAGTCTGCGTGCCAATCGATATTTAAAACATTCCTTTTGTTCCGCAGGAATTTTGATTTTCCGTCATAAAAAAACCACGGCTGACGCCATAGTTAATTAAAGTTGTTAGTAAAACAAAAATTGTCAACTTGTTTATGAAGTGCACAGTCCATAAGAAAAGTGTACAAACGTAGAACAGGAAAAATTAGTGAAGTGTGAATTTTGTAGAGCCTCCATCATTACTCCTACGATATTTATCACTTACCACTCTGATATGGTATTCTACTCTGATATGGTACTCTGATATGGTACTTTCTAAACTATTGTTCAAGCTTTTTATTTGCTGATGATTTAGCTGCAGTACTAGCTGG